GCATTGCGAGAAAAACGGCCGGAATACGAGCAAAGACATGATAAAATTATTTTTCTCCAGGACAACGCTCGGCCTCATGTCGCAAAAGTCGTAAAAAAATATTTGGAAACGCTCAAATAGGATGTTTTACCGCACCCGCCGTATTCTCCGGAGATTGCTCCTTCTGATTACTGGTTGTTCCGAAGGATGCAGCACGATTTGCAGCAAGTCACCGGTTGACTTCTTTCGCAGAAATCGAAAATTGACTCTAAAATTGGATCGCCTCTAAAGACGAGTCATTTTTCGAGATAGAATTTGAAAATTGCCTGAGAGATGGGAAAAAGTAGTAGCCAGCGATGGATAATATTTTAATTAATCTGTTCATTCATTTTATTTTGAAATAAATGCATTTTTGAACACAAAAAGACGGACCGAACTAATTTGTACTCCCAATACTTATATTGATATATTTTTTATATGTAGAAATAAAATATATGAATCAAAATTTTATCAAATAACATTGCTTTTGTGTATCGATGAATTGTGCGATCCATCGAATCCCAGCCACTTGACGTACACCTTGTCTCCCTTCCTGTGCAATACTTTCTCCACGAGATACACGGATGAGTAGCGCGATGCAACTCGTACTCGTAGAACGTTCCAGCGACGGATTTTCCGCGATAATTCTCGAGTAAATAGGTTACAAAATTGGTACGCTGCACCTTAATGATCGTAAACACCTCGGTGGTCCAATTTGGCATGTAACCTTCCTCAAAAATCGTCTTATATTCGCTCACGCATACCGAATCGCCTATTTTGAATTTTGAAGGACCCGCGATCTTTATCGCGCTATACACCGTGTCCAAGAGTCTTTCGGCGATCGCGGGAGTTACTTCGGCGGATCGCATGCCGATAGTGCGATGCTTGCGCGCGTAATCTGACAGGAGACGCGGCAGCTCGTCGACCCACTTGTAATTGCCGTTGAGCGACACCTTCCACATGTCGTTCTTGAGCGTGCGATTGAACC